AATGAACAGGTTGAACAGCTTGACTAGCTGGTGAATGATTATCACTGTATCATAAATTTGAAGCAGTTGAATTACGTATTATTTACCACGTTGAATTAAACCGAAGTGAGATTGAGTGGAGATGAGTAACATTTCGCATCTTGTGTTAAGCTAACTGATGTCCAGATAGAGTGGTCTTCAGTCATACATTTGCTATAAATTTTCGATTCGGAAGCTCAAGCAGCTCACACTATGTGTTCTAAAGAAATACGTGTAAACGTTGTCCCCACCATGGCTATCTTAAAGGGTCAGACCAATCAATTTCGATTATCATTCTGTTTTATTGATTTTAGTTCCCAGTGGAAGATATGGCTTCAGGCTAGTGCTTCGAAGTTTCAGTATCAGTGGTGTTTAGTGTTACGGGATAAGTTTGTTAGCCTCACCTCCTACCTTTCTTGCTTCCCGAGTTTTTCTCCGGGTAAGCGAGGTTTATGCGTGCGTCAACCGGGGATCGAACCTCGGACCGCTTGCTTGGTGGTTAACCACTGTTCTACTACTAAGCCACCGACGCACTATGATTATCCTGTTACCTTTCTTATCTAACCATTTTATGGTTTTTTATTCCTATCCCCATTACTAGATTTGGTTGTTTTCTTTTTATCCGAACTTCCTGCCATATTTAGTTATAACTAGGTCTTTAATCAGTAATTGCACAAACAGTCAAGTTTTTCAGTAATTATGACCTTACTATGTCTTTTCTGGCTGATCTTTCCGATTTCATTACTTAGACTTTTGATGTAAGTGCAGAGCTTGGACACTGTGATAGAATGTGATTCTATATTAGATAAGTTTATTTGAAATATCACACAGCGATGATGCAGTATTACCAACTGCACATAATCCTATCAAATTTAGTGAATGCATCGCTGTGTGATTTTTAAAATGGTCTTATCTCTAATATGTAATTTGATCTGTAAGCCGAAAAAGTTCTAAAACTGTTATACTACTACTACCTATCTATCTTAGCATCTCTTTAAATCTGACATTCCTGTTTATTATAACTTGTAACTTCATTGTTTTAACATTTGACGGGAATAGTTCTGCAAATTTCTCAAACATTTAGTATAAATGCAAGAATGTACATCAATCATCTAGTTGATGTCTTTGTCAAAAAGAAAATTGTCTCCACTGCAACCGTCTTTTTAAGTTAGATATTAGATAAATCTGTGGGAGTAACCAATTGGAGGTGATTGGACATCAGCTATCCGGGTTGAAATCGTTGGGTCAGAAAAAACCATTGCAATAGTGATCAGGAGAGTAGTAAAGAGTCGAAGAGACTGTGAGTCGGTGGCAAAGCGGTCAGGACGCTCACCGACCATGCATATTTCCGGGGTTCGATCCCCAGCCGACGCACTACTTTACTTTTTAACCTCACTAAGCCAAAAATTAAAAGCTGGTAAAGAGAAAGGTTTGGGCATGAGGCTTGCAACCCCATCCTTTAAAAATAATAAACACTGCTACAGAAACTCCAAGCTTCTAGTTGGAAGCCATGTGTTCCACTAGGAAAGTGAAGGAATAGAAAAAATTATTAAGTGGATGAACAAAATAGTTACCAGGGTAAACTAAGATATATTTTTGGCGTCTCCTTCTGTATACACAAGTTTGGTTTGAGCTGTTTGATGGTACTAGATTCGGCAAATCGAAGCAAAGTTTAGTTTCTTTGTTTAGGAATAATGGTGAAAGCGATTTGAATATCTAATTTGTGTCTTGATTTAATTAGAGGTCAGCCATTGGTTTTTATAGAGGAATGCAGATCTTTAAGTTTCAGTCATTTTAAGATGTGTTCGGAGAAACGAATGGATGTCCACCTTTCTGTCAATTCAATTCCCCTGCTGTAGCATGTATTTGTGGATCTTTTTTTACTGTAGCTTGATTCCACACCGTACAAGTATTGAATTTTCAGCCTGTGATATTGATAGCCTAAATTTTTCAGGCCGACCAATTGATATCAGGTGTGCGTCAGCAGGGGATTGAACCGGACCATGTGCATAGTCGGGGAGAGTCCTAACCGTTGTGCCACCGACGCACAGTTGAAGTTGACTTCAAATGGGTATCTGTCCACTTTTGATTGATAAAGTCGATGACTAGTGCTTTAAACAAGAACAGGTTGTGTCGAAGGGCAACTCTCAGTCTTCTGTTTATGATAAGTGATACATTATCTTTAAAATTTATCTGGGTGAATACTGGATTCTTCTCGAATTTCAATTTCTGTCTTGAGACAACGAAGCACGGCATCCTCAACAAGCCAGATGTGTATAGAACTTTACACTCAACAGGAGAGAGTCATTTTCTTTGTCTTCGCCTGTGAGGAGTGGTATAATCTGCTTTGCTGTGTTCAAATTATCATTTGTAAAGGCAGACTCACAATATAAGTATGGAGTATGACTCTATCAAACGTAATAACCTCGCCAGTCGTAAGCAGAAAATAGAGGGAAGGTTTGGTAGGGGCTAGCAAAACCCACTCTGTTAAAAACAACCCCATAGCTACTGAAACGAAGAAACACAGAAAAAATATCATAGTGAACATCAAGTCAGAAAATATGCACTTCAAATCACTGAAAATACCCATTGAGTCATGAAGAAAATTTCCTTTATCAACGAAGTCATATTTATATTTTCCAAAAATGTATAGTAGTCCATTATTGAGTAATAGGAGTGACATAAGTGGCTTCAAAAGCTAAAAAAATAAAAGTTATTAATTACGTTATACTCCACAATGGCACAAAGCAAAAAAAGGGTCAGGAATTTGATAAGGTCAGAATTGTTATTGAGTGAGAAGAATGAAGGTATTTGAGTGTCAATTTAACAAGTGTGCAGAAGGTGAGACAATGTACAAAAGAAACATGTGAGAGTGATAATAGTGAATTAATTATTACAGTTTGCGTCGGTGGCACAGTAGTAGAATGCTCGCCGACCACGCAGGTGGTCAAGGGTTCGATCCCCGGCTACCGACGCATTCCTTTACCTCACTAAGCCAATAGTAAGACTGATAAAGAAGGAAGGTTCGACATGAGGCTAGCAACCCTACCACTGCTACAGAAACTCAAAGGCTCTAGCTTGAAGCCCTATGTTCCACTGGGAACGTAAAGGAATAAAAAAAATTATTACAGTCAAAGCAAACTAATCATTAAAAATATAGGTGAAAAATTTCAGGTAACGACTAATGAAGAGGTTAACACTATGGTAGAATAAGAGACTGGACAAACCTTTCCTGTATATAGAGTTCGGGGTTGTATTGACTAATTGCCAACGCCTCCGCCATACACAAATTTCGAAACCTAACTCCCTTTGGACCATTTGGTCTCACCTTGTATATAATCTTGAATGTTATGTTATGCATGATACCCAATAGTTAGAGAAGAGTGGAGAGAAAATACAAAAGAAAATCTCACATTCCTTGGCTTTCATAACTAAGAACAGTGCAGCTGGACAAAGAACAATTTTCAAGTATTGGTCTTGTAAGGATTCTGTTTCATTAGTTGGAGGATTTCACCGTGAGTTGACATGAGTTAAAGAACCACTGGGAAACCACCAGTACTTGAAAATTGATCACAGACTCACTAGCGACTGGTCATATTCAGGCAGTGACCTGGGGTTCTAGTGGGAAGCCGTGGCCAGTAGGGTGCAACAGTTTGAAGGTGAGGCAGTAACTCATCGAAGAAGACATTGCGAAGTGGTTGTCGCGCTATGTCATGAATTCTTGGCAGAAGTTGGAATTCATGCGCTGGCCATTGGATCGTGTCCCAGTAGCTTAATTGTCACCTTGTAACCAGAAGATCCTTGTTTGAACCCTGGTGGTGGGTGCGTACTGATGAGGAGTCCCCGACTAGGGTGACGAAACAGCCGTCCAGTACTCCCAGGATTTCCAATGGTTCTCTAACTGATGTCAGATCATGATGAGTGCCAACTAGCACGAAAGGTAGGTTCAAGGCTTCCTGCCGATTGCCTGCAACCATCTAATACCAACAATTCCCAGTGCACCGTAATTGCAAGCCACCTAGCATGGTGGCCACATTGCAAACATGACTGATAGAATTCAGTCTGCACCGAAGATAGGACTAGACACATTACACTAGTTACTGACTAGTGTGCGATCAAAAATATCTAATACAGTCCTACAGGAGGTCAGTCGCGAGCCTGAATAGCTCAGTGGTAACGTCTCTGACTGCAGCACTGGGTGACGCGAGTTCAAATCTCAGAAGGGACATGAGTTCCTTCAAGGTTGCAGATACACCTTGCTGATGAGTGCCGGCTAGCACGAAACCTAGGTCAAGCAAGGCTTCCTGTGGCCGATTGCCTCCAATCATCTAATACCATGATGAAATCTTCCAACCAATTGAACGAAGAACATTTTCTATCAACATTATAGATTTCCAGGCCGTAGGTGTTACGAACTTCCTGGAATAATTTGAGCGCCGAGTTAGAATGATTCATTATAAATTATTTAAATTAATCCCAGCGTGTTAAGAAAATCAAAACAAGATTTCTTCAGATAAATCTGCTGAAGAAGCTGTGGCTTACACAGCGAAACGTTCAGAAAAATCTTGCTCTGATTTTCTTAACACGCTGGGATTAATTTAAATAATTTATAATGAATTTTCTTTTATCATTCCTTCACGTTCCCAGCGGAACATCGAGCTTCAAGGTAGAGCTTTGAAGTTTCGGTAGCAGTGGTGATTATTTCTTTTACAGGATGGGGTTGCTAACCTCATGCCGAACTTTTCCTCTTTACCAGTCTTACTACTGGCTTAGTGAGGTAGAGGAAGAGTGCGTCGGCCGGGGATCGAACCCCGGACCATGTGTATGGTCGGCGAGCGTCCTAACTGCTGTGCCACCGACGCAGCTTGTGCTTAACATTTATTACACACATAACGTATCATTAAAAACTGAAACTCTTACTACAAAACATAATGAGTAATACTGATTGTCTTTTGTACTACCACCTACCTCCCCACCTATAGATGAAGTGATTCAAAGCCTTGAAACATTGAAAATCACACTGAATCAAACCTTGTGTTCATATGAATTACTAAAACCGGTCAAAGAATTCGCACAAGCTATTTCATCAAATCGTTCATGGAGTTGTTGGCAGCATACAGTGGAGTTGATCTCCAAGCTTCGTTTAGTCCTAGAACAATCCTTTATAACACAAGATGATATTATCTTGGATCTAATGTTCCCCATTGATAATTTTTTAATGCAATCACTGTTGGAAACATCGTGTCAAACGCATATTACAGATACAAAGAATATTCAAGCTGAAGAGCTGGATGAAAAAATCAAGTGAGTTTACTTCACTAATATTAATACTTCTACTACATTAGTTATGCAGTAATACTTTTATTTATTGTTATTAACTATATCACTCACTGTACGTTGGAGGTTCAATTCTCGACCAACGCACTTGTGTAAATTTCTCTCAGCCGGTAGTAAGGCCGTTATATAGGGAAGATTGGGTGTGAGGACATCAATCCCACTCCGTAAAAAAATAAAAACCACTGCTACCACCGAGAGAGACTTCAAACCTCTCTTGCTTGAAGCCCTATGTAAAGTCTTTAAAAGTGTTCCAAATTCAGAATTATACTAGACGTTTGATAAAAATAAAATGTTTAATTGTAGTTCACTGATAATTTAATTCTCATTTAAAGTTATCGATCAAGAGAGTAATGACAAGGATATCCAGATTGAGTAGGTTACACATCTATTTATATTTTAAAGTCGGTAAGTTTTCGGTAGGCTTTTGGAGTAAACACAGGAGTCAGACAAGGGTGCTTATTATCACCAATGATGTTCCTAATTGTGGTGGACTGGATTATGCGTCAGACAGTGGGAAACGAGAAGACAGAGATATCCTGGACCCACATGAAGAACCTAGAAGACCTGGATTTCGCGCGTGGATGATTTATGTTTGATGTCACACAAAATCGAAGACTTACAAGCGAAAACCGACAAACTGGTAGAAGAAGCAGCAAAGACAGGACTCCAGGTGAACATAGACAAGACGAAGGTTGTAAAAATAACCAACCAACAACAGCAACAGCAGCAGCAACATCCATCGCCAATCACCATCAACGGAAGGGATTCCAAAGAGGTTACTTCATTCACTTGTACAAGTGGCATTGTCTCAACTACAGCAGGAACGGACGAGGATGTCAACTCGAGAATCGGGAAGGCGAGAAACACATTCATCAGCCTGAAACCAATCTGGAAGTCTTCTGCTGTCACTCAGCCTGCATCAACAACAAAGTGATTCGGATTTTCAATACAAACGTCAAGTCAGTTTTGCTATACGGATGAGAAACTTAGTGGGTCACAAAGAATATTTCCAACAGCCTGTTGCAGACCTTCATCAACAGCTGCCTTCGCTCTATACTGAATATCAGATGGCCGGAAAGAATCGCCAACAAGAAGCTATGGAAACAAACAAAACAGAAACCAATCACCCAACACATATGCAGGAGAAAGTGGAGATGGATTGGACACTCGCTGAGGAGACCACTGGGTGACATCGCGCGTCAGGCCCTCGAGTGGAACCTGAAAGGGAAACGGCGAGTGGGACGTCTGAGGGAGACATGGAGGAGATCGTGTGAAGAGGAGCTGAAACAGTATGGACTAACATGGATGCAAGTGAAAAGTACAGCAGAAGAGAGAAGCAAGTGGAGAAGTGCATTTGAAGCCCTATTTTATACTAGGAACCCAAGGGAATAATAATATTAATAATAATTTTACGGTATGTGAAAGAAAACCTAATTCACGCATCAAATGTTATCATCAGAATAATATCCGGAAACAAGTACTGGAGCTGTACATTAATTACTATACACAGGTTGTTTTCATTGAATTTACAACCTTCATTGAATAATTAATATCAACCCTTATTGTGTTAAGAATTAACTGGACTAATTAAACATTAACAACCCACCTCCTAGATAACATACATTCAAAAGGTTAAGGACACTGTGTTTCACAATTGAGGTTCATCTTTATATGTGAAGGTTTTTTTCTAGAAATTGTGTTATAAAGGAGACAACATAGTCCATTTCGTTTCGATGAAAACTAGGATGTTGAGAAAAATGCCGTTGAGGCTAAGCTAGTTTAAGTTTTATAACAACCTTTTGGTTTAATGTCAGTGAATTGATAGAGGTGATTTTTTCTTTATTCTTTTACCCTCCAAGTGGAACATAGGGCTTCAAGCTAGAGAGGTTTGAAATTTTGGCAGTAGTGGTTTTTATTTCCACGGGATGGGGTTGCTAGCCTCATGCCGGACCTTCCCTCTTTACTGGCTTCACTATCGGCTGAACGAGGTTTAGGAGAGTACGTCGGCCGAGGTGTGGTTCGCGAGCGTCCTATGTATGAATGAACCAATGACGCTACAGCAGTTTCTGTTAAGCAAAGCAACAACTACAGATTTAGCAGAATAAAATGGTACCATATTTTATTTCGTCGCCTTCTCTTCAGCTGCTTACAGGGCAAAAACATTATTAAATGTATCTACAATAACAATTTAACATGCTTACACAGAGTTCATTTTAAACAGAAATCAATCGATCAATATACACATACACTGGTGCAATCAAAAATCGATAGATATCCTTCTCATGTTAACTCCAACTGTATATATAAATTTACATGTATCTGCGGGAGCAGTTACACTGGAAGAACAGAAAGAAGAGCATATCTACGATTTTCTGAACATGTAATAAAAAGCTTACGTCTAAAGGGGACAAATGCTTTAGGCAGTGCCATCGCCAGGCATCTTCTTGACACGGGTCATGAGGTGGATGTGGAAAAGTCATTCAAAATTATCAATAAGCAAAAGAGTTCAATGCTCCTTAAGTTTGCTGAAGCCTTTCCCATCAAGCGCCTAAAACCTGATTTGTGCGTTCATAAAGAAGCAGTTATCAGTCTTTCTTTGCCATGAGACACTGAAAAGTTTTCATTTTGTATGATTATTTTGCTCGGAATTGTGTTCAATATTGCATATATGTATATATATATATATATACGTATATATTATTAGTGTATGTGTATATTGATCGATTGATTTCTGTTTAAAATGAACTCTGTGTATGTTAAATTGTTATTGTAGATACATTTAATAATGTTTTTGCCCTGTAAGCAGCTGAAGAGAAGGCGACGAAATAAAATATGGTACCATTTTATTCTGCTAAATCTGTAGTTGTTGCTTTGTTTAAATTCATTAAGGGGAACAAATGTATGAAGTTTCTGTTAAATTAACTTATGTATGACGTTAGCTGTAGTCTCAGAAGCAAACTATTTTTTGCTAAAAATTTCATTAACCATCACTATATTGATTTACACAGTCTTGAAGACCTTCTTCTTAGGTAAAAATGGAAAATAACCTGTAAAATGCGATACTTGTTCGTATGTTTTTGTATCTAAAGTTAGAGGAAAACACACAATAATAATCTACTTTATTCCAAAAACAGTACTTATAATACAGAATGGAATTCTCAGCATTTGTCACAATATTGCATCTGATTTACTCAAAATATAAATAAAATTAAAAATTAAAACGAAATTAACCGGAGGAATTTGTCCACATTTACGATATGAAGTCAAAAATATTCGAAGCACGAATTGAGATTATTAAATATAATAATAACAATAATAATAATAACAGTGAGTTTGTTTCAAACGGTATTGTCGGTTCAGTTTGGAAACTTTAGCATGTTATAGATTATTGGATCTAATGTTCTGTTGATATAGTATGGTGAGGGGAACTACAAAATTAACAGTTATAATACAGGTTAAAATTATGTCCACACTTATGAAAAAAAATAAACAAAACAAAAAATTGAGAGGATTATAAATATAAGAAATACAATAACAATAAAGTTTGATGTTTTAAGGGTGGAGGAAATGGATTATTTAGTGGTGCAAAGAAGGTTAGTTAGTTCATGCCTAACACTATTTTCATCACATAAAGTACGTGCTAAATATGGTATAGTGGAATTTTTATACTTAGACGTACGTGCATAAATTCTTCTGGAAAGACTTCTTGTTTTACCTGAGGAGACACAAGGTTGGAGCTGCGGGTAGAGTGGGTGCTCAGAGTCTGACAAAATTCCTTTAGCGAATTTGTTGCATGACATCAAATGCCTATCAGTGACAATGCCAACGATATGGCCCAATGGGATACCACTCGTCCTACTGACAGTCTTCAGAGTTCTACGAAGTATGACATAGTCTTTTTTAAGCAATCCAGGAAAGAATAAGGGTGAACAGTAAAGAAGAATAGGTAAAATACACGAGTTGACAAACTGTAAGAGGAGTGGTTGGGTTATGCCTGAGCGCCTCAACTTCTTAATGTAAAAAGTCAGATGAAATATTCTTTGAGAAATCGCTAAGACATGGGAGGACCAGGATAGGTCAGAAGAAAGAATTAATCCAAGATACTTAACTTCAGACTGGGTTTCTATATCAGTATCATCAATTTTGCAAGGACCATAGGAACCAATGGCTTCATTTAACCTACACTTGTTCAAAGTGAACACTTCATTTGTGCACAAAAGTCTTGTTTGAATTCATGAGGTCTGGAAAGAAGAAAAGCGGACAACTTAGCATGAATTCCATAGGTAATCTTAAAATTATAGTTGGAGTTGGTAGAGTGACAGAATTCGATGAAGAGTTCTAGAATAGAGTCACTGACATGTTTTCTTTCTCCCTAGTACAATCATGCTGGGGTGGGCTGTCGTATGAGTGTGTGAAGCATTTTTTTCGGCTATGGCCTAAATGTTTCACTTCACAAAAGCAGATGAACTGACATTTGAACAAGGAGGCGGCCAGACGAGGAAGATTATATTTTGGAGAGACGAAGCACAGTTTACGGCTGGTGAAGGTTATTTGCAACTTTATTATGGATAAAATCACGCAGTGTTATATAGCAATATTCACTGATGACGTTTCGAGCATAATCGAGTTATACTCTACCACAGTGCCCAGGTTTTATCCTTATATCAATATTACATAGGGTCATTTGTAGTTTTGCAGTAAAGTACGTCTTACTGACTGATTTGAAGAGATAATTTTTGAGCATACCGGAAGCTTGATCATTTCTGAAGTCCGAATTCATGAATACGGTTTTCTATGGAACTGAGTCAGTGACCAGTTTGGACTGTTTACCTTTCGTGTTTTTGTCAATAAATTGGTTTCAGCAACCGTTTTCTGCCAGTGTGGCTTTAAGGAAGGAAAGTTCTGAGTCAATGCAGTCAGATCTGCAAATTTTTCTTATCCTAAATCAGAGCAAATGTATAAAGTTT